AAAACAACCACTGTATACAAATACACGGTTTTCTTTTCTAGTTAGGAAATCCACTGCTTTATAGGGGAATGGATTAGCAGATGTTATACCAGATTTCAGCAAATTTGTAACTATTTTGTACTTAACCGCAGACAGATGTCTCAATTTTAAACAAAGGAGTTAAAAAATAAAACAGGAAGGCTAGAATGAAATTTGTACTGTTGCACTGAAATCAAAGGTATTGAGCCTGGTGTGATGATGCAGGCCTGGGATCCAGCACTTGGGAGGCTGAGGCAAGATGATCATCATAAATTCAAGGTCTACCTGGGCTACATAATAAGCTCAAGCCAGCCTAAACTACATAGCAATATCCTGTCTCAAAAAATAAAAAAATAAATAGGTATTTTTGGCCTTAAACATACCTACAGAGAGGGGCACAGAAATATGGATTCATCCATATACATGAATATACAAATATGGCTGAACTACGCCAAGAAGGCTCAAAAGCAATGAGAGCCTGGGAGGAACGAGCAAACCTAGCAGTGGAGTCGTAGTTTCTACCTATACTCTTCTGAAAGGAACCAGGGTCTCTTAGAGAAATGACTGATTCCAGGGCTGGGGCAAGAAAAATCTAAGCTGAACCTTCGGTATCCTCTGGTGTTAAAAAATAAAACAGTACTCAAAAAATGTCAGGAAATGTCAGATAGTCATAGGAGCCCATGTGAAAGAGCTCTCAATAGCTAAATCTGGTGTTACCTAGAAGCTACTAGTATTGGATTATAACTCATAGAATAAACTAAGAAACTAAGTATCCAGGTGTCTAGACACTCAGGACTCCCAAAGTCTAAGCCCCCACAAAATGCAGGTTCTGCATTTGCTGATTCAATCAACTAACTGTAAATCAAAAATTTTTTTTAATAAAAAACATTCCTCATGAACTGAGTAAGCATAGACATATTTCTTGTAATTATCCCCTCAACAGTCCTGGGTGTTATAAATACACTGTCCTGGGTATAACAAATAATCCAGAGATGTTTGAAAGTTCATGGGAGGATGGGCACTGGTTTTATGCAAATACCACACCATTTCCGAGATGGGGCCTGAGCATCCACAGGGTTTTGGTAACCTCAGGGGTCTTGGAACTATTCTCTTATTGATAACCAGAGACTATACTAACGTAAGTAAGTAACAGGACAGGTTTTTCTCACACTAGAATTGCAATTAATACTTGTAGAACAAATGATAGAAACACATCTCCATTAGGCCAAGACTATCGTCAGTTGTAGGCAAGAATATCATCAGTGTATGCTAATATAGGTGGGCAGAAGTGATGTTCTCCATTTCCCCAGAACATATTAACTAATTTTAGGGAAGACCATAATTTTACCATGGAGATAGCTAGAAACACATCCATCATCTACGTAAGAAACCTCAGGATCATGTAGCTTCTGACACAATGCAGAAAGGCACCAACACTGCCTGGGTGGGTGATATTCCTGCCCAACCATGTAATCCTCGCCCTGATCACACAAAGCCATACTGGGCAACAGTCTACAAAACAGCCAGCTAGTCCCGCCAAAACATCACCCACAAAGGGACAAAACCAGAAACACACTAACAAACTGAAGGAGGAGGAGACAGAATAAGGGAATCAAAGGTGGGGTCCCCATGGGTCCTGCGGCAGTTACCCAGGGTGCTGGCATTGGGGGGAGCTGGCAGGTTGCTAGCAAAACAAATGGAAACCACTTACCTATTAAACCACTATATCTCTGGAAACACACTGATGAGCAAGCAAAAAATCTTACCTAGGAATTTCAGGTTCCTTCTGGAAGCAACTCAGAATTCAGAGGGCCCTAAGGGACCTTCCAGAATGGACTGTAAGGCTAGGACCTACCTGAATCCAAACACGTGAGCTGGATCAGATGTGCTCCATCTCCACGGGTAAGGAGGCAGAGTATTCTCATCACACGCTTACCCAAGTGCCTTTACTTTTCTCTACATCAGACAGAATTAGACCTAACGGTTCCAAAAGTAATATAAACTTCCACCCTACCTTCCGGTCATCAGGTACCAGGTCCTGGAGCACCTTCCTCTTAGGCCACTCCTTGGCCAGCTCAGCAGAGGCCAGCTCCTGCAGGTGGTACACAGCGATCTTGGCAGAACGTCTCTGAACTCGGCCCCCACTCTTTGCTTCCAGACTCATCTCCTTTAAGCACTCCGGCTGTCCTGACTCTGGAAAGAAGGAGATCTGCAAGAATGAGACACAGCAGAACACAGAACTGGTAAGTGGCTTCTGTCACTAGAGATAAAGGCTATCCTTCCTGCTCTAAGTATCAAAAGGGCTGTGCTGTCTACTGGCTTGTTAGCCTTGGACATCAAGCACTACCATATTAACATTATTCACAGAAAAAAGCTGGTTAGCAGGACAAAATCTGTTCTTTCCTAATAAGTAAAAAAGGGATTTAAAAAAGTCAAGAAACATTCATATACAAAGATTTCAATCACAGAAGCACAAGCCTGAAATCCCAGCACTTACGGGGGCCGAAGCAGGAAAATCACAAGTTTAAATGCTGCTTGGGCAACACAGTAAGACCCTGCCTAAAAATATAAATTACTAAATGAAACAGGTTGATGATGTAGCTCAGTAGTAAAACACCCCTGGATTTGACCTCCAAGACAACAACAAAAAAACTTCAACCCATTCCATATAATATGTACAAAAAATAATTCACAACAGACCAAAGCACTGAGCACAAAATATAAAACCTGTAAAAGAAACTGAGGAAAAAATGTGTGTGAGTCTAAAGTGTCACCTTGGCTAGATTATGTAATCATGGGCAGCTACACAGATTACCATGAAACTTCTAGCTAAGTGGGGGAATGTTTTCAGTTTTGAAAAATGATAAACAGTTTACTTCTCTCCAGACCATACTTACACCTTTCATTGATCTAACCTAGTAATGTTCAAAAGGCAGAAATAAGAACAGAATAAAGAATGAAATAATGAACGAGGGAGAGAGAACAGAAACATTCAAGGAGCAAAAGGTGACACACAAAGGAGGAACCAAGAGCTAGGCACTCACCACAAAGGACATCACCAACAGGGTCTAGAGAGGCATCAGTACTCACAGGCGCATGCTCTGACCTCAGGTGATACGCAAGACCAGCCTTTGACCTATACGGTTTTCCACAGTGGTGACATTTTAAGGTCATCTTCTCCAGCTCTGCAGCTCCTTTGCCACACTTTCTAACGTGGTACAGATATCCCATGATGCTGGTGAAGGTACTGGAACAACTCTGAACAAGAGAGACAGGCTCACATCACAGTCTTCCATCCTGACATGACCCCTTCCACCTCTAAAAAGCTACGAAGCATTCACCACAACACACACGAAGTCACTGTGATCTGACAAGACCCCTGCCGGCACTTCCCCTTCTCCCCAGCCAGCTGTCCAGGTGCCGTCAGACAAGGGTGGTGTGGTGAGCACTCGCTGAGCTGCACCAAGACACAAACTCCTTGTCCGAGCTTCCCGCTTGGTCTGTGACCCAACCCCACCCCAAAATCAAACAGCTGGTAACATCAAAGCCCATCACAGTGACAGGGATCCAATTCATCACATTTACAGAGAGGACAGGAATGATATGCTCTGAAGACAGACAAATGAGGGAAGATAAATTACTAGAAAAGAGAAAGAAAAGAAAAAACTGTCAATGAGTTCAAGAGCCCTGAACAGCAGGGGCCACATTTCTGCTTTAAGGTGTAGCAGAGAACCAGGGAGCCCAGAAGGAAGGGAGGAGAAGTGGAAAAGAACAGCAGAGGACACTGACCTGAGCTCCAGGAAGGAGGAGCTGCTGTCCCTAGCCTCTTACCTCTCGCATGCACCTGAGTTTTCCCAGTCTCTTTAGAACTGTCCGGAGCCGCTCCCTCTCACTGGGCTCATCAATTTCATCTCCTGCTTTCAAAATGGGCTAAAAATCAAGAGAAGCATATTATCGGGAGATTAACAGAAAAGACACACACAGAGAAAGGAAAATCATACAGACTCGAGAACTGGACTAGTAGCTAAGCTGTGTGCCATGAAGTCCAAGTTTTGGCTCTCTCCATCTTCTGCACAGGTAAGGAGGGAAAAAGAACGGAAGTAACAGTTCTGACCCTCTAGCTCCCATGACAGCCCTAAACACAAATACTATAGTCCATGCAAAGGTGCCTGTCTCTTGTATGGAAGGGTCTTGCTACTCATACCCCTATGAGGTCCTAGCACCTCAGCCATCTGCATTAAGACATCTTCACACATCTTAGGAAAAGACACCCAAGGACTACAGAGGATAGAAGACAAGCTTACCAAACTATTATGATTCGCCATGACATGATACTTCATCCCTGCCAAGGAACGAAGCTGTTTCCCACAATGATGGCAAGTAAACATTTCCTAAAAGGAAAAAATTGGGAGTCAGTGGTGGGCCATTCAACAGAGAAGCACAATGCCACCAGCTGCCACACAGTGGGCTAGGGACTTAGCATGTGTCACTGACTCACCGAGGTATTTATTATTTTTTCTCCATTCTACCAATGAGGAAACCAAAGTCCACAAATGAAAAAGAAATGCCATAACTAGTACGTAGCAGGCTGGGATTCAAATAAAAGTATGTCAAATACAAAGCTTATGTTCTCTGTCTCACACAACACTGCCACTAATAAGCTTTTATTACCACAATGAACACAAAGCAGGGATCTAAAGTTTAGATGAAAAATCCTAACAGTTATAAAACGCCAAAAAAGTAACCTGTTTGCAGTTCTCCATGTGTTTCTTCAAACCCTCTATGGTCTTCCTCCCCACTACCTGGCAGGTAGGACAGGAAACACTGCCTTTATCCACAATTTCTAAGTACCACTGTTCCTCCAAACTGCCTAAAAGGAGAGAAAGGGACACTCTGTGATCTGCAGTATTGTCCAGAAGCAAAACGCATAATACCACCATTTAGGAAAAGTATAATAGGGGTCTTCCCTTTCCTGGTAGATATGGTACAGCTCTAGGATTCTTTTTTTTTTTTTTTTTCCAATAAAATATGAGGTTTCTGAAACTCCTGCACATTTCCCCACGTTCAAAACGGTCTGAACCACTCCAAAGCCCATGCTTTAAGCCTGGGCAACCTTCTCCTACCAGGATTGAACAGTGGGGCACGGAGATAGGCAGCAGCCAGTCTGCTGAGTGCTTCCTCTGCACCGAAGTCCACACTAAGTGTCTCCAAGCCCTTTGATACTGTCAACAATGCTATCTTTATCATTACCATTTATAGACATGAAAACTCGGGCTCACAGAACTGAAATAAATTAAGGCAGTTCAGAAAGCCCAGATAGCCAAAACATGAAGGAAAGAGCTGTGTGACCTCCAAAGCCAGGCCCGTAAGAACTGCCTCTGTAAAGAAATGCTTCAGCGTATCCCTCCTCACAGAGGACACCAGCAAAGCAGAGCTACACCCCAGGAAGCCTCCCACAGAAAGCCTACCTGCTGCATAAACTGGCGGTTCCTTCCGTATACGGCGAGCCTGGGGTTTTGGATTGGGCTGAGTTTTCGGCCGTTGCTTCCTCCCTGACAAGACAGAAACTTGAAGCCCAACATGTTCCCTTGACCAACCCCCTCCAGCACCAAAAATCCCTTCCATCCCTTTCTCCTAAAACACCCTAGGTCCCACTTTCTCAACCAATAATGACTCCTTAACTCATGACTCAATAAAAGGGTACAGCCAAGGCAGGATGGAGGCTGTTCCCCCTCTCCACATTCAAAGGGCTCAAAAACCAAGGCCTAAAGTCAGCATCTCTGTCCTTTTAATCCTCAAAGAATAAAGCCCAGTCACCTGAGGAAAAAGAAATGGCAAAGATCCCCCCCTTACCATAAAGTTTATGCTTCTTCTGGGGAAATTCTCCATAGTCTTCGTCATCTTCCTGCCTGGGTTTCCTTTTCCCTTTGGCCGATACTCCACCTGAGCCTGGCAGACAACAGAAACATAAAGCACCATCTCAGGATAGTGCATGAAGGAATGTCTGGTCCTGTCTCCAAAACATCATCCACAGGACCCCAAAGGGAAAGATCCCCCAGATTACAGGCCTCACAGAACTGTTTCATTTGCAGGAAAGTCTGTAACTTCTCTTTAACTGACTGAACCTCTCTTCTTCCCTTTAAGTTGTTCCCTTTCAGGAATCATCAATCATTTGCATTGAATAGGGACCTTCAGGAGGTATGTTTTGTGCGACCTTAACTAAGGCTATCACTGAAGAACTGCTCAAAACACTGGGTTCCCAGGATTCTTCAGACTGTGACCCTCCAGAATGTGATCTTATTGTCACTCTTTCCTTAGCCACTATATCCTCAAAAAGGAGCAACCTAGAAGTGTATGGGAAGGAAACTCAAACTTCCCAAAGGTGAAGGTTTACTCTAGGTCTGTCCTAAAAGAGTAGAATCAGCAGAATAGCCTTTAATACATTGAGAGTCACTTATAGCAGGTACCAAATAGGACCTCAGAGTATCCTCTGTCTTGGGAATAAGACGCTGATATTTATACCTTCAACGTGAGGAGAAGCAGATTGCTTCATCCTTCTCATCTTCCTCCAGTATGAAGATTTTCGGAAGGATGCTGGAAAATCATTCACTTGCTCACACGAAGAGGCAGATGAAGAACCACTTAAGGAGTCATCATGCGGGATGGTGTACTGGAAACTGTTATCCTTTATGGGGGAGCACTGGGTCCTGCTACTAACACAACACAAAGATATATACCACAGAGAAGGGGTTGGTGCAAAATTCCTTCTCATCCTTTTATATCATAAGATGATATCAGTTACTTGTGCAAAAAACTAAAGAGCCTGATTCTCCCTTCCCCTTTTGGTACTGGGGATTGAACTAAGGCCTTACACTAAGCTACATCCACACTCATTTTCTAATCTTTTTTTTTTGAGACAAGATCTCCAATGCCCAAACTAGGCTCAAATTTGCAATACTCCTACCTCAGCCTCCCAGAATAATAGAATTATAGGCATGTGCCACTACATCCCACAAGAAGACTGACTTTTTTTTTTTTTTGAGACAGGTCTCTCTATGTAGCCCAGGCTGGCCTCAAACTCACTTCAATCCTCCTGCCTCTGAGTGCTGGAATTAGAGGTGTGCATCACCATGCCAGAAAGAATAATGGTTTTAAAAAGTCAGAATACAGTCTGTAATCTCCAAAGAATTACAATGCTGGTTCTAGCACCCCAAGTACGATTACTATTATGCTTCATTGTAGTCAGAAAGAATAAGCAGTCTACATAAATGATTACCTTGCAGAGTAGGAAGGCATCCCTTCCAACATTTCTTTTTTTTTTATTTTTTTTTTTGTCTTTTTTGAGGCAGGGTCTCGCTATGCAGTTCAGGCTGGCATTGAGCTCATTTTACAGCCCAGGTTGGTCTCGAACTCACAATGATCCTCCTGCCTCAGCCTCCCGAGCGCTGGGATTATAGGCATGCGTCACCACGCCTGGCCCCCTTCCTACATTTCTTTAAGAAAAAGTAGGCAAAGTCACACGGTGTCCTGTGACCCTTCAGAAACCCTTCTGGATCTGTAACCAGATGTGTCCAAGCCTTTGTATCTGTCCAACACAGGTAGACTCATTCAAAGCCACTGTGAGAACAGGGAAGAAAAGAATAGACCCTACAGCAGTGATGGCGAATCTTTTAAAGACCAAGCACCAAACTGCAACCCAAAATCACTTATTTATCACAAAGTGCAATTACATTTGAATACTGAGGTTTTAGTTTGGAAAAAACAACTCTACATTAACATCTTCTATCTTAAAAAAAAAAACACAATCAAGTATAGGTTCACCACCTAGTATAGGCCATAGGTTCATTCCCATTGCCCTATACCCTAATTTGATCTCTTTCTCTTCCATTTCCTGAGGCTTCTATCTAAACCTTGAGGCCAGGACAGCCCTGTCTCACTTAGGAAACATAATATTCAGCCTCCACAGCTAAAGAAAGAATGCTATCTTGTCTGAGTTGAGCTGGCCAGAGAATCCTGGTAAATAGCTGGATTCAGATTCTTAAACCTAATATGAGTCAGTATATCAGGGAAGAAACATTACTGAGAAACTACAAAGCTCAAGTGTGCTGGGTGACTCAAAATGCAGTAGACAAGCAGTTCACAAAGTGTGGTCCAAGGACCCCCTAGGACCTGCCTGTTCCAGGTAAACACCTGTATGTGGCCTGCTTTAGACATAGGATTTAGAAAGAGCACTCTTGCTGCTGTATGGAAAATAGGCAAAGAGGGGGCTGGGAATTTAGCTCAGCAGCAAAAGCACCTGCCTGGCATGCGCAAGGTCGTGAGTTTGGTTCCCGGTACCAGAGGAAAACCAAAAAAAAAAAAAAAAAAAGAAAAAGAAAAGAAAATAGGCAAAGAGTAAACAGAACGAAAAATTAGCTTGCCAACATGCTGCAACAGAACGAAGATGACCCTGGGTTCAATCCCCATTAACAAAAAAAAGAAAGAAAGAAATATCTGGGCCTGAAGCAAGATTCTGTAGGACAGATGGTGGAGGTTTAAGAGAATATGATACAGGCAGAGCTAATAAGGATGCCACAGTGGCACACAGACATCAGTTTGTGACAGCAGGAGGTGAAGTCGCACTGATGACTGTCCTTAGGAAAACATCTAACACAGATGCCTACTATGGAAGACTCTGCAGTTGTCACATGTAATAAACAAATTCTACACAGATAAGAACAAAAAGGCATAGCGCTGAATGAAAAAGGAAACAGGGGCTGGGGATTTAGCTCAGCGGCAAAGCGCCTGCCTGGCAAGCGCAAGGTCGTGAGTTCGGTTCCCGGTACCGGAGAAAAACCAAAAAA